CCAAAAATAGCCCTGATGGGGGGCATTAAACATGAGGGGGGAGGCTTTGATCTCTGTGCCCCTTCCATCAGTTTACTTGGGCATGTGGTCAACCACTATGGAAGATGGAATTTTGGACTAGAAGAAACATTGTTTTGGCTTCCATGTTCTTAAGTTATGTATTACCTAGACACTGTACCAGCCTCCTGGGTCAAACTTGTTGCTGGTAAAATCATAAATGTTTTTCAGACAGAAAGCAAGCAGCAAGTCTCCAAGGTCACTCTGAGAGGAGGTAGATAAGGGAGGGGATGCAAATGAAGATAAGGGAAGAAATGCAAAACAGGACCCCTTCCTGCCTGCCTGCTGCCTTTCATGGGGGGGATCCTTGTTATTGAATATTTTCTTTCAAAAATAATTGATGAAATGTTTTAAGGCAACGTTTCTTAAATTCTAGGGGTTCCTCCCCTGCTGTCTCTTCTCACCTGCATTGTAGCTTGCTGCACTCACCATATTTAGTAATGGTTTGAATACTGAATGAATACTTCTGCCTCATGCGAAAAGAGTTGCTGCAGTAAGGCAACATCAAGAGTGATCATCTTTTGCTGGTGAAATGTAGGCAAATGCCATACTTTGCCTTTTCCTCCAGCGGGGACCCAAAGCACCTTACATTCTTCTCCTTTCCTCCATTTCTTTCTTACAACAACAAACCTATGAGGTAGGTAAGGGTGAGAGGGTGTAACTGGCCCAAGGTCATCCTGCAAGCTTCTGTGGCTGAGGTGGGATCCAAACCATTCTCACCACTACACATTAACTACACAGGCTCTGATAGGTCACAGAAGTTGTTAAACCTCCTTTGCCTTGTCACACAAGGGATATTTTCCATCCTCCGTGTTGTACTGCCTGGCCTTGCTGTCTTTTCAGAAATAAACATTTGATTCCATTGCAAATAGCAGAGGGATGTTAGGGGCTATCGATAGTCCTATCCCTTTATCTTTGGCACTGCCACTCTCACAATCATCCTGAAACTGGTTGCCAATTTTGAAACCCATAGTTATATAATATCATCTAATCTATTTTCTTTTCTTCTTCTTTTTAAAAAACATTTTTATTGCATTTTCTAGTCTACAAACCTATAGGGTCAAGGGAAGGGAACAACCTAAAACTACGAGTAGCAAGGATAATTAACACATAAATTCAAGATAATCGACATTTCCCTATTACTCAAATAGTAATACATGAGAGTTAATACTATAAAAATATAAAAGTATAAAGTGAGCAAACACATTCTTGCTTGGCTATAGTGTGTGTTTCTTAGCTTTAAAATAATTAATTTATAATAAACATCAGACTTTCATAGTTACTCTTTTTTGCTTATTTCTTTCCTCTATGCTTCTTACCAAAATCCAGTCTAACTTTAAAAGTTTTAGGAGCAGCAGTCCCTAATTCTGCTTCCCAGTCAGAGGATTCTGCCGAGCTGTTTGTATCATTGTCAGAACTTCCCCCCTTTTTATCTTCTTCTTTTTCTTCTGCATCTTTGTTGTCCTCCACTTTCTCAGATCCATCAATTGCTTTCTATTGTTGCTTCAGGAACATTTTTGCTTTAGAAACAGAGTCAATCTTTTCTTTTTTCCCATTGTAGTTGAAGATAAGGCCTTCTGGAAGTATCCATCTGTATGGGGTAGTTTGATTTTGCAAAAATAGTGTTAAGTCTCTGTATCCTTCTTTTCCTGATCTCAAATGGAACGTCTTTTAAAACTTTGATTTGTTCTCCTTTGATTTTTCAAGACAATTCCATTTGTTGCCTTCAAAATTAAGTCTCTCATTGACCTTTTTGAGAATTTTGCATATACTTCCCAGGGTAGCTTTTAAAAAATATATAAATTCTGGATAAGTACGATATACCATATCCATATCACTTTGTATCACTTCTGCTGTTAAGCCTACCATGGGAGAGAGCTCTTCGCTTAAAATCTCTTTCAGGTTCTCTCCTTTCTGCTCTGGAATATTTTGAAATCTCAGGACATGCGCTGATTTTCCATTTGAAGAAGTAGCAATTGTTGACTCTCAGAGATTTTTTCTTTTTCCACTATGTCCAGTCTTTGTTCAAAGTCTTTGGACTTAACGTCAACTTTTTTCAGCTTCTTGGTTAACTTCTCTGTTTTTGCTGAAGTTTCTTTAAGCTCCTTTTGCAACATATCACACTTGTCATTGAGGTTGGTCAACTGGTCTAGTAGCGGGCACAAAGCTGCAACAATCATTTTAGGAAAGTCTATCGTTACTTCCGGTTTAGTAACCGGAGATGATGTGCTGGCAGTTCCTGTTGTAAGTTTCAATTTCACCACCATTCTTTCTGCTTACAGTTTACAGAGCACAGTTTACAGTTAGGGAAAAGTTTTCAAAAGTCTCTGAAGGTCTGGTAATAAGCGCTTTCTTGCTAATCCACAACACACTCAGTCCAAATCTGCTCCCTTCAAGCCACCCTCTCAGTCCCTGATTTTACCTCCGTTTTTTCCGGGATTGGGATTCCCCTCCCCTTTCTGCTTGTTTGGGATTTTGGGGCAGCTTTACTCTCGGGATTTAGGTGGTTGCTCGCTAACTCGTGAATTCACTCCCATTCTTACTTGTGTTTGTTTATGATGTAGAGAAGATCATTTCATTTGGATCACTTGTGTGCTTGAGCTGGTATGCGTTTCTGGGTACCATTGCTGGCTCCATGCCGTGGGAACCTATTGGGGCAAAAAGGTGCCTCGATCCCTTGGCTGCTGCCTCAGGAGAGGCACCTCACATGCCCCAGACTGTGAGCCCCTACATGGGTTGTGGGGGTCCATGATCAACTCAGACCCCTCCCCATCGGCACATTTGCAGGCCACTCACATCAGAGCAATGATGGAGTGCACCCGCCTGCAAGTTGCCCAAAACCAGAAGTCATCTAATATAATAATCTAATATATTTTCTGATGACATATGCTTAGCCCAGACAACCTCATTATAGGATGCTAGGGGTGTGTATAAAACTCAAATAATCATTCCTGTTTTAGATTCTTCAATATGCTGCAGCATGGGTGGGGGGGGAGTTGTATATTTGGAAAGCTACTGCTTCATTCCTTGATACATTTCACAATCCCACCCTGGGTCTGTGTGTCTCACATTCATGTTGTGTGTTAGCCTACATGGTAAAGTGTATTTCTCTTCATTGCCACCCCCCAAGATATAAAACCCAGCCTGTCAAGTAACCAGGGCCTTGGAGAACCCTGGTAAGTTTGCCTCTGTGCAAATATAAAGGGCAGAACTTCAAACTACTTTAGCTCCCTCTGTCTGTGCATGTTCTTAGTGTGTAAGAGTGGTCTTTGAGGTGTGGGTAGGATCTGAGTCACAGCCATCTTTCTTACACAGGAAAGAAGCGTTATCACTAAAGGTTAAACTAGAGCACATACCTGGAAAATAGCTATTATAAATATAATGAAAATGAACACAAAACATGAGTCTAGATAAGTTACAATACAAAAGAGTAACCTTTGGTGAAGCAAACACATTCCCAACCTCCTTACTGCCCCCCCCATAGACGAGGATGGGTCCCACAGGTCACAGCATCTGGGTGAAGTGTTTGACCCAGAACAAAGGAAGATTCCACCTTTTAAAACTTCTGCCTGCTTTGGTGAAAATCTCTTACCCTCAATCCAGAATTAGGAATCCTGCCAGTCATGGGAGATACACTAAACTCTAGCGTTGCCAGGTCTGGGTTGGAAAATACCTGGAGACTTGGGGGGGGGATCTGGGAGAGAGTGGGGTTTGGGGGACGCCTTAGAGTCTACCCTTCAAAGCAGCCATTTTCTCCAGGGGAGCTGATCTCTGTCAGCTGGAGATCAGTTGTAAAAGCAGGAGATCCCCAGGCCCCACATGGAAGCTGGCAACCCTACTAAACTCTGTGATTCAATTCTTTTGGCATATGCTGTGACCTGCATCAGGTTTTTTTAAATGATGCCCATTTATCTCCTCCTTTGGCTAGTAGACCAAATCCCCCCCCCCCCCCCCAAACACAGACAAATTTTTTTCTTACTCCCCCAAACCTTTGGCTAGTAGACCAAACCCCCCCCCCCCCCGAAACCAAGTTCATATTTTTTCCTAACCGGCCAATTTACTGGCAGACTTCCTTCACTTTATTTCATATATATATATAGTTTCCCTTTATTCTCTCCAATATGGAAACTAATTATGCATTAAGCATGGGTTGGATCCAGCCACCTACTCCTCTAAATTTTGCCAAAAGCCCCTTCTTTATTAAAACCCCCCACTAAAGTTGGGTTTTGTTCATTGTAGGCAGAGGTCATTTCGGGGGGATCGCGGGGGAATGCAGTTCCCCCGGGTGAGGTGCAGGGGGGTGGGGAACACGATGAAGCCCCACCCCCTGCTTCCAGCCACCCCGCTTCCGGCCCTCATTCAGCCAGGAGGAGGCAGGAGAAGAGGGAGGGTAAGTTGCTTCCTCCCCACCTCTCCCCACCCCTGCCTGCCTGGGGTCAGGGAGGGCCTTGGCGGGGCTTCCTTGCACTCCCGCCGGCCTTGCAGGTCCACCACCGGGCCCCTGATGTCAGGGGGTGTGGCATATGCTAATGAGTTATGCTAATGAGTTCCCCCTAGCTCTTTTTCTACGAAATGACCCCTGATTGTACGTCCTGTGACTCCCATCATAGCCTTTTTGGTGGCCAGACAGGATTCTTTCCTCCTTTAATGCCATCACCCAACAATGATTTTCCTTTAATTTTTTTTCCCACTTGCCCACCATTGGAGCTTTTTATAATAATTATGCTATATTTATATGAGACATTTCACAGCCTTATCACCATTCTTGCATGTTTTAGACATATATAACCCTCAGATCATAGCTCTATTGTAAGAAATATATTGCTTCATGGAGGGCATGGCAATTTTAGGATATTCTGAAGTGCACTGTAACTTTAAGCAATATTGAATGTTGTGCAACTGTACAGCATAGTAGTAGTAGAAGAAGAAGAACTTCAAAAAGATCAGGAATGAGCCATATTGACAATTTTACTGGCAGTTCTAGAAAGGGCAGCCTTGACTTCTCTGTTTCTCAGACTGTATATAAGAGGGTTGAGCATGGGTGTGAAGACAGTATAAAACAGGGAGAACGTTTTATGAAGCTTCTTCAGTGTGTTAGTTTGCGGAAGTAAATAGACACAAATCAGAGACCCATAGAAAAGAATCACTACAGTCAGATGGGAGGAACATGTGGAGAATGCCTTCTGCCTGGAGGCCTTGATCTTCATTTGGAGGATGTTGATGATGATGCACACATATGAGATCAGGGTAAGGAGAAATGGTGGTAAGGTGACTATGGAGGCAAAAATGAAATTTATGAGTTCCACTAAGTGGGTGCTGCTGCAGGACAGTTTGAACAGAGGGGCTATGTCACAAAAGAAATGTTCAATTTCATTGGGGCCACAAAATAATAGCTCAGACAAAAGAGACGTTATTATACTGATATTTAGCAGACCGCTCATCCAAGAGATGGCAAGAAGCCAGAAGCAAATCCTGCCGTTCATAAGATGTGTGTATTTCAGTGGCCTGCATATGGCTAAATATCGATCGTAGGACATCACAGCCAAGAGGTAACATTCAGTAGCTGCTAAAGAACCACAGAAGAAATATTGTACAATGCAGCCACGAACAGAAATAGTTCTATCCCCAGTCAGCAGACTGAAGAGCAATCTGGGCAGGATGGTTGATGTGTAGCAGATCTCCAAGCAAGACAAATTCCCTAGGAAGAAATACATGGGGGTGTGGAGGTGTAGATCCGCAACAACAAGCACGATGATGATGATATTTCCAGCCACAGTAAGCATGTAGATTGCGAGGAAAGACAAGAATAGAAGAACCTGCAGTTCTGGATGATCACCGAATCCCAAGAGAATAAAATTTGTGATGATGGTTTGATTTGTTCTGTTATTTATTTGCTGTTGGAAATAAAGAAGTTTATGAAACAAAGCTTGTATTTATACAATATATTAGACAGAACGTATTTTGTACATGCATAATGTAAGCATAACACATGGAGACTTGATAGATTTTTGTACAATATTTGAAGACTGCATTTAGCACCAAGAAAGTAGAATGGTTTGTGTGGCTCAAATCCCTCCTTAGCAGTGAAGATGTATGGGTAATCATGGTCCAGTTGCTCTTACCTTGCAGGCTTATGATGAGGATAAAAATAAGAGATAAGAGGAAGATGGTTTTAAGCTGCCCTGCGCTTCTTGGAGGAATGGAGGTAGGGCAAGGTAAAAATGAAATACAGTTTTAGCCCACATGGATTCCTCAAGCAGTATTCAGCCAGACTGAGAGTTTGGGTGCTGACAAACAGATATGTCCACATTTGGAATGAGTTCTAATATTTATTGATCAGTCTGTCTGTCTATCTAAAACTATGTTGGACACTGAAGGTATTAATGGTGAGACCGAGTGAAAATGGTGGCTGGTTCCAGTCCATCATGTCCAAGTGCACATGGGATAGATCCAGTTATTAGTTTTCCTTTGAAAAGTAGCTTACAATAAAGAAGGGGGAAGGGTGCTAGACCTATTTCTGATGGTAGCTTCTTTACAGTCCACCCCAGCCCTTGAGCTGAAAACACAGGCTTGTCATACTGGGAGGCAGTTGGATGGAGATGATGAATTGTAGTAAAGAAGCTGCAAAGTAGTTCTCCTCCCAAACACACACACAAACACACACACACAAACACAGAGAGAGAGAGTGAGAGAGAGAAAGAGAGAGAGACCCTTTCACAAAGCTATCATTGGACTTATAATACACTCAATTGTACATACATGGAGTCTTAAAATTTTACCTGATTTCAGCATTTGGACTTTTTTTTTTGGGGGGGTGTCATAATTTAATTTGTTATTTACCATCTGTTCATGCAAAACCTACCAAACTCTGCTGCTAGAATAATGGAACATAAACAGGAGAAGGTCATCATTCTCACTATTTTGATGGAAACCTCCAGGAACCTGGGTGGCCTTTATTGAAAACCAGGCAATCAAATACATATGATGTGATATGGTCTGATTAAGCAGACTGGTTAAAATCTGTTGCTATTTCAACATATCATAATTCCATTAATTGCAATTAAAGAGCCTAATTATACTGCCCATTGGAAATTCCTGTGGCAGAAGGTTCCACAGATTATATATGTAGCCTGTGGAAATTAGTTATGGGGATATATTTTTCCTAGTTTAAAAAAATCAGTACAATTGGGGCACTTCTGGAGAATGGGAAGCTGAAACTTTGTTTGGCATGGAGGCACATAAAATCACCTGGTAAGTAACATATCATTAAGCTTCTATTTAAAAGACAGATCCTGTTTTTTTTCAGGCTAGTCGGCCACATTCCACCCAGCCATCTCTGTATCCTGGAAGTACGGGGATAACTGATCACTCTGGGACCAACTAAGAATTTTTTGGACTCTTTCAGATTGGTCAGATCAGATCAATGAAAAAAATATCAGTTTAACTCATTTATTTTGTGTGGCAACTTTATTTAGGGCAAGTTGTTTTGTGACAAAACCGGGCACCATGGGTGATGAAGTCTGAAGCCAAATATCTCAGAAGGTCTTGACTGTGGTATCAAGTACAAAACAAAAAGAGAGATGTAGCATTAAAATGTGGAATCTCTCTCCTTTTCACAGTCTCTTTTTAAAAAACCTACCATCTTACTTTTGCAGAGATGATAAGTAGGGTGACTGTAAGGTGCCAAAAGAACAAGACCAGTGTGTTCTTCTGCCACACATATCTGCAGACAGACACATGGAAAAATCTGAGCTAGTACTGAAAAAAATGGATTTACCTCAGAGTGAATTTCAGTAGGAAGATATATTCCGTCTGACATATTCCGTCTGCTCCCCATTTCTGGGTATGGGGATCTCAAGGCACACTCCTCTTCTCTTCCTGAGTCTTTTATCTACTTGAACTTATTTACTAAACAGCTCCCTCTTATTAGCTCTAGGAATTCTTTGCCGAGCAGTTAAATGCTTTGATTTCTTCTGACTCCCTATTTATTTTCTAAACCTTAACACAAAGCAGTGTCTTTACCATTCCGGAGGGAGAACGTACTGTGGTGGTTGAGTTCAAATATTGCTCTGCTGGAGTTAAGCTTCTCATAGAAGTGAAGAGAGAACAAACACTTGTCCTCAGGGAAGCATATGAAACCCAGAGGTCTGTTACTTATGAGAGAAATTGTCTTTATTGCAGCTAGGGGTCACTTCATAGAAAAAGAGCTGCAGGAGCTCATTGGCATAAGGTATGCTAATGAGCTAATATGCTATTAGCATAATAGCTCATTAGCATGTGCCACACCCCCTGGCATTACCAAAAGTGATGTCAGAAGGGGAAACAAAAGGGGGGAAAGGCATCTTCAAAAGCCTCCCATTCTCTTCCCCAGCTGGCCTGCGGGGGGGGAGGGAGTGAAGAGAGAAGGGGTTTAAAGTTTAAACCCCTTCTCACTAGAGTTGGGACACAAATGGAGGAAAGAGGGAAGGAAAGAGAGAGAGAGTAGAGAGAAGGAAGGAAAGAGGGAAAGAAAAAGAAGGAAAGAAAGAAGGAAAGGGGATAAAAAGAGAGAAGGAAAGAGGAAAAGAAAGAGAAGGAAAGAAGAAGGGAAGGAAAGAAAGAGAAGCAAGGAGAGAAAGAGGAAAAGGAGAGAACAAAAGGAGGGAAGGAAAGAAGAGAAGAAGGAGGGAAAGAAAGGAAAAGAGGGGAAATGGGAAAGAAAGAGAGTGAAGGAAAAGAAAGGAAGGAAGGAAGAGAAGGGAAAGAAAAGGAAAGGAGGAGAGAAGGAAAGGATGAGAGAAGGAAAAGAGGGAAAGAAAGAGGGCAAAGAGATGGGGAGAGGGAGGGAGGCAAGCAACTTTCTGTTAGTTAGGTTAGGCAGGATTCTGACAGTGATTGTTCCTCCTATTCCTCTTGTAATGCTGATTGTCATATTTCACTAAAAAAAAAGTAGACTGCAAGAATCCCCCCCCCCCAAAGTGCTGATATGTTTTCTAAGGCTCAGCACAAGGTAATGATCCAAGGCCAGACCTACCCAGGGGTCTTTTCGTAGAAAAAGAGCTGCAGGAGCATTTAAACCCCTTCTCACTAAAATTGGGCCACAGAAGGAGGAAAGAGGGAAGGAAAGAGAGAGAGAATAGAGAGAAGAGAGAAGAGAAAGAGAGAGAGAATAGAGAGAAGAAAAGAAGGAAGGAAAGAGGGAAAGAAAGAGAAGGAAAAATGGAAGGAAAGGGGATAAAAAGGAAGGAAAGAAGAAGGGAAAGAAAGAAAGAGAGAGATGGGAAGGAGGAGAGAAAGAGGAAAAGGAGAGAAGGAAAGAAGGGAAAGAAAGAGAGAAGGGAGGGAAAGGGGGAAAGAAAGAGAGAGAGAGAGAGAGAGAGAGAGAAGGAAAGAAGTAGGAAAAGAGAGAAAGGAAGGAAGGAAGAAAAGGAGAGTGAGAAAAAAAAGGAAAGGAGAGAAGGAAAGGAGGGAAAGAAAGAGGGCAAAGAGATGGGAAGAGGGAGGAAGGCTCTCCCACCCCCCATAAAGCCACCTCCACCCCCATGGATCCCTCATGTGGATCCCTCACTTACCACAATCAAGGCCTTCTCCAGGCCGCAGTGCTCTGGCGCAGGCCCCAGGAGGCTGGCAACAGGCCTCCTCAGGCCTCCCCTGGGCCGCAGCACTCCAGCGTGGGCCCCAGGAGGCCGCCAACGGGCCTCTTCAGGCCTCCCCTGGGCGACAGCGGTTCGGCACGGGGAGCTGGGGGCTTGCTGCCACCACCATTTGTGCCAGTTCCTGGGCTGCCGAAGTGGCGCTCCAGTGCGCTCTGGCCCCAAATGACCCCTGATTCCAAGAATGGAAGTAAAGGAGTCTCTTCTCTAATAATCTCCTTTGCAGCTGCCAGGAGGAGAGCAAGCTGCTAGTGGAGAAAAGAGTAGAATCACTAGCACATGACCACCCAAGAAAATAACAAGCTGGCCACAGTGGGATGGTGGTGGTGATACCCGTAGCCTGCCACTGCAGCCAGCTGTTCCTCCTCCAGACTTCTTGGCTCTCTCAGTTGTTCTTGACCAACTTGTCATGCATTATGAAGAGGAGAGAGAGGGAAGGTGGAGAGGGAAGCCCTTTGCCTCATTCCAGATACACAAGAGTCAGCAAACATTCAGCGGCAGTAGGAAGAGACAATCCTACATGTTCAGGTGTATGCCAGTAATTGGAAAAAGTTATAGTTATGTAGGGTGGCCAGCTTGGGTTGGGAAATGTCTGGAGATTTGGGGGCAGAGCCTGGAAGCATGGAGTTTGAAAAGGGGAGAGAGCTCGGCAGCTGTGTGATGCCATATAGTCCACCCTCTGAAATGACAGTTTTGAACAGGGGGAATTGATCTCTGCAGTCTGGAGATCAGCTATAGTTTCAGAATTCAAGCCCCCCCCCCGATGTTGGGCAGCCCTAGTCACATGCTTATTATTAATGTTTATATTTTATATTCTTGTGTGTGGGTGTTTGGTGGGGTGCTGCACAGGGCAGGCAGTAGTTTTTGGTTCCTGGCAATTGTGAATGTGTCTCTTCATGACCAGTGGAGCCAGTACCACTGGCTTAGACCAGCTCTGCACGGGATGGCATTGTGATTCAAGCAAGCGAGTCCAGCCTCAAGCTGCTTGTAAAGTCATATGTGTGACACATAAATGCAGCTAACGATTAAGGAGCTGAGCATCTGAAGCACCCCCTTCCCTAGTGTTTTCCCTGTGGAAAAACTGGAGACTTCACTGTTGAACTGACTGATTGGTTAGAAGGTTCAGTAAAACCCTCTGTTATAGAGCGTTATCTCCCATGGAATGGTGAGTGAAATGCTTTTGAAGGCAATGCTTTGTAATATTGGTTTATTCACGTTTTACTCCCTGAAATGTGTTAAATAATTATGCCATAAGACATTTCAGAACAGGAGGTTAATACAATTCCTGTTTATTGTAAGAATCTATGCATTCCAAATCCCACCCCACTTTGAGATTCTTTACTCTTCTGCAGTATGGAAAATAAATAAGCTTGTAATGGGGAATCTCTCCTGCTTTATGTGGCAATGCTGTGGCAACCTCTCCTGCTTTATGTGGCAACCAGTGGTGGCAATGCTGAAATGTGGTGCATGGATTTAGCGGTCGCTTCTCATTTCTCTGGTTCATAATGTAAAACAAAAACAGCCATCGTCAACATAAGGTACGAGCTACATTAATGATTTTAGTGGCAGTTCTAAGAAATGCAGCCTTGACCTCTCTGTTTCTCAGACTGTAGATGAGAGGGTTGAGCATCGGAGTGAAGACAGTATAAAAGAGGGAGAAGGTTTTATGAAGCCCCTTCAGTGCACCAGTTTCCGGAAGTACATAGACACAAATCAGAGACCCATAGAAAAGCATCACTACCATGAGATGGGAGGAACAAGTGGAGAAGGCCTTCTGCCTTGAAGCCTTGGTCTTCATTTGGAGGATGGTGCCGATAATATTCACGTATGAGATCAGGGTAAGTAGGAATGGGGGTAGAGTGTTTATGGAGGCAAAAACGAAATTTACAAGTTCCGCCAAATGAGTGTCACTGCACGAAAGCTTTAACACAGGGGATAGGTCACAAAAGAAATGTTCCATTTTATTGGGACCACAAAACATCAACTTCCACAGCAGTGATGTTACTATACTGACATTGAGCAGCCCACTCACCCAAGAGAAGGTAATGAGTGAAATGCAGACTCTGCTATTCATGAGAGATGTGTACCTCAGTGGTTTGCATATGGCTAAGTATCGATCATATGACATCACAGCCAGGAGATAACATTCTGTCGATGCTAAGACACCAAAGAAGTGATACTGCATAATGCAACCATGAACTGAAATGGTTCTGTCCCCTGTCAGCAAACTGAAGAGCAGCCTGGGCAGGATGGTGGATGTGTAGCAGATCTCCAAGCAGGACAGGTTGCCCAGGAAGAAATACATGGGGGTGTGGAGACGCACATCATTGACAACCAGCACAATAATGACGAGATTGCCAGCTACAGTAAGCATGTAGATTGTGAGGAAGGCCAGGAAGAGAAGAGTCTGAAGATCTGGGTGATCACTGAATCCCAGAAGAATCAAGATCGTGTTGGCAGTTAGATTTGTTGCATTCTGTATCTGCTGTAGGGAATAAAGCATTTTATGAAATAAAGCTGAGGTTTATCGGTCTGTCTTGTCTATATAGCATGTATGGAATGGAATTTGTACACAGAGTAGGTAGGAATAACACATGGCAATTGTGCTGGGAATATGAAGACTTGCTATAAGATCTTCTGTTAGTCTCTCCTCCCACTGTTGCTTGCAAATCACTTTGGCAAAAGCAGCACACAATTTAGATGTAGGCTTTCTGGATCTTTGAATATGGTCCTCCAGAGCTTGTCATTAAGACGTACTATGTAATATCTTTTCATGTAGTCCTGTTCAACTCTGGCAAAAGAATAGCAGTTATTTATCTGAGACCCCGTTCACACGGGGAATTTGCCGCAAGAGAGCCACGAGTGGCTGGCGGATTTTCCAGCCGCGATCACACCACAACATCTGGGAAGTGGAGCACACCCATGGCAAACCCATGGCATGCTGCCGAAAATGCGCTATTAAAAAATACCTCAACCAAGGTGGTAGCAACGGTTTGCCACGGGCTGCCTCCAGACTACCTTGGTGTGATCGTGCCAGCGCGGCTTTTCCCTCTGGCCGTCTGTGTCGCAGCGCACATGCCGAGGGCTGGAACCGTGCCGCGCCAGCACGGCTTTTCCTTCTGGCCATCTGCATCGCAGTGCACATGCCGAGGGCCAGAACTGTGGGTTGCCGCCGTCTGAGGCATCTGATCATGTTGTCGCACGGCTACTTGCAGCACCGCAAATAGCCATGCCTCCCCCCCATGTTTTCTGGCCCGTGTAACCAGGGCCTGAGGTGCTTTAATGCTATGTGCTATATATGAATGCTGAGGAAAAAAGATTCACAACAGCTGTAGGTTGCAATCGTGCATCCTATCCAGCTGCCCTTGTATTAAAGGCTGACGGTCCACACACTTGCACTGCCATGCCAGAAACATCTCGGGAGATGGGGGACAGAGCTGAGTGGAGTCAGGTTGTTACAGCACCCAGGATGTCTGGCAACTGTCTTTCCCACTTCATATCATCAATTCAGAAGAATTAGCCGGGAAACGGTCCTCTAAAGTGAAGGGAAGAGAGGATGCAGAGCCTGCTTCTGCCTCTCTGAAGGCTGCGCTATACTCTGGATAGTAGATTTGGGATCAGCGTGTTCTGTAAGATAACTTGATGGCCAAACAAGAAGTAGCATTAAAATGTAGCACTCAGGGGAAAGTATGAATTCCACCCAAATCCAACAGAGGACCAAAACCACAGGGTACCAACAGAGTTGTGGCTACTCTAAATGACCGCTAGCTGATGGGCAGCAGGTGCCCGGCTTGAAAAGCAAAGGGTTCCCTTGCATCACCTCATGTGCAAGCCACTTTGTGTGGTGATTTCTACGCATCCATAATGAGCCATACAGAAATGAGATTCTCTGCAGGCTGAAGGAGAAAGCGGAGATAGTAAATAGAGTGGACTTACCTCAAAGGTTGCAATCATGCATCCTATCCAGCTGCCCTTGTGTTAAAGGCTGACTCAGGTCCACACACTTGCACTGCCATGCCAGAAACATCTCGGGAGATGGGGGACAGAGCTGAGTGGAGGCAGGAGAGAAATAGCCTCTCTGCTCTCCATTTTTGGGTTTGGGGAATCACAGTGCACACTCCTCCCTTTTGTTTCCTATGTAAACTTCAGCTGATTTGCCAAACAACTTTCTGTTGGAGTTTATGAGAACGCTGAGCTAACCCCCCTTTTTTAATTTTCTACACCTGAACTTAAACACAAAGCAGTATCTTTGGTTACTTGGAAGGAGAAGGTTTTATGCTGATTGTATTCAAGTGTTGCATTGCTGGAGTCAGTGCTTCTCTCTGACTAAAAAAGGTTGAATAAGCACCTACCCTCAAGGGAAGAAGGAACCCAGAGACTTATTATCTT